TTTCAAGACAAAAAATAGCTCTTTAATTTGTAAGATAACGTTTTCATTCAGCTTTTTTTGTTATCCAGACATATTTTCCATAATTAGGTTTAAATATTTATGATTTAATAAACAAATTAATAAAACTTTTTAATTTTTTTGTGCACCGTCTTCCATTTCGATGTGAATATTTTTCTTTTTACTTTATCAAGCGGCAAATGTAATTTGACCTGGACGAAAAAACAGTGCTGCCAAATTTTTTTCAAATATTGTAACCAGCTCGCCAGAATACCAAATTCAATTTCGGGTGTTAAAGAAAAGTAACAAAATTTACTTTACCGGTAGCAGTGAGAATAGGCCTGTTAATCTATTTTTAATCAACAAATCTATGTTCAAACGTGCGAAAAAAAAATATTGAAAAAATTCGAAGTACGACTCTTGCTATTTTTATATAGATTGTTTGGTCCAGGACAAAATTTCAGGAGTTTACGTCTTTGACCATGGACGTATTAGAAAAAGGCGTCTTTGGAGAAATACTGGACCGCGGCCATTTTGAAATTAATTCACTTGAAAACCTTTGCATTTCTATATATATATTAAACCTGTTTTACAGATTTTAGATTGATTCCCTTGCGGAGTCAAAATAAATTCATAAAATATGTCAATTTTTTTGACGCTCTAGACTAGCCTCTTCTTAAGTTTACTAACAAATTTTGAGAGAATCAGAGAATATTGCTTTCCTTAGTATCGTTGAGTTTAGATATAAAAATATCTCTAAAGATTCCATAAAATAACTGAGTTATTTTCAACGTTTTTGTATGATGTTGTAAGACTCCCCAAGGAGTTAAGCAGTTCCTTTTCCTACAAATATTTCTGAAGCAGCATTCCGCATAGTTGACGAAAAGTACTTCTCTTCTAATTTTTTTTAACGGCAGAGCTTGAGCGTATCACTCTCTATGAACAAGTTTGGCATACTTTTAAAATCCCGAGCACTAACTGAAAATGAAATAGTATCAATTTGTAACGCTGTTATCATGACAATATGGCCAAAATGACATACTACTAAGTCATGAGAAAGAAAATATCCAAAATTTTCTTTTATTGGAAAGCTACGAAAAAAGACTGGATGTGTCATAAAATTACCATGGCCCGGGATGTCAATGCGAGAATGAGCCTGTTGTGTGTTTAACCATTTGTTCCCGAATACCACGTTTTTTCAGGTAGAGGTCTTTCGCGGGTCGAGGAACCTTAAGTATCCCTTGGCGTCAGTTTCACAGCTCCAATTAATCGACTTTTTTATTGGGTTATTTATTTATGCAACATTTTTTGAATATCTGCCATAATTTTCAAGTCGAACCGAATTCAGGTTTCGGAGATACTACCTTTAGATGGTGCACGCTCAAAGTCAGGCAAGCTCCACGCTTTGAACTATCAAAGTATTTTTGTTATGCTGTATTTCCACAGACGGTTGTCACGAGTCCTATCAGTCCTGTCCTATCAGCGTCAACACAGAAATTTTTTACGAGTGTTCACCGGAAATATCCTGGAAATCGCTAAACTGTAAATATTTTCACGTGAAAATATTACAAAATCATGCATAGTTAAGACCGTGAAAAGTTGGAATAAAATTTTGTTTTTTTATGCAAAAATGGAAGCTACGGAAAATATGGCATTCTCTATACGAATAAGCTCATTTAACCTTCTATGACAACTTAACAAAATAGCTCAAGCTAAAGAAAGGTACAACTAGAAGCTTCGCATTAACTACTTTTTTGTTTCGTTTCTTACCCTTGATATGGGTCCCTAGTAAGGTCGCGGTTACGCTTTATATTTTTACAGAATAGTACCTGGAACTGGTCTTTAAAAGAGCTCACTTAAAGGGGAAAGTGAAGATTTAACCAGCACTGATTGGCCAACGCTGAAGCGACGCTTGATCCAATTGAGTCCAGACCGAAAAAACCACCAAAAAATTAAATTTGTTCACCTATTTTGGTTTTTGCTTCGCATTCGGATTTACTATCAAAGACTGTAGTAATGATTATTAACTGACCGCTTGCGACGTTTGATTGAGTTAACTCTTCGAAAATGTGCAAAATTGTAGAACGAAGGCTCAGAGATTATGCAACACGAAGAACACACGTATAAGATGGTTTGACTATTACTTTATACGGTTTGAGGAGAAAAAATCGTCAAATACAAATAATAATTAATTTTCCCGGCAAAGCTCCAGCGGAACTTTTTCTCTTCCAAAATTTCAAATTACTACTACCAGGCACCCCATTTACAGTCAACAGTAGCCATAAAAAAAATTTTGATTAATAACAAATTTTTTTCCACAGAATGTCTTTAAAAATCTTTTAATAGTTTAGTTATTTATTTGCATAAATTTATTATCTCGACATTACAATGAAATTAAATGAATAGCAAATATTTCATAATGCTTTTACAATAGGAAGGGGCATCCTCATTTTCAGTGACAGTCAGTCAGTAGAAAAAGCTCTGGGCATGATCACGGCAAACTGTAGAAATCATACTGAAATGTCGCTGAACGTTTCAGGAGTTGGAGGAGGAGTTGATTTATCATCAAATTTTACATTTACCATCGTTTGGGACCCCTAGTGCCATAGACGGACTGCAAGACAGATGAGTTTGCTAGGCGAAATACGACAAAGCCGTTTATTTACTGGAATTATGACGAAAGATTGAATATTTTGCAACATTTATGTGATTATTATGCTTAAAGCGTGTAGACTTGAACATCTTAGAGTCGCTCTTACGAACAATACTTACCTTGCGGCAGAAACTAAAGTAAGCAACCGTACAAAATTCATAATGAAGTTCAAATATAATATCACAAAAGGCCTCTTTGGACCCAACTGTGTCAATTCCCGATATCAGCAACCACAACTATTTGCCCACATAACTATTTGTTGTCCATAAATACAAAATAAAAGCTGAGTAGGAGTAAGCTGGCATCCCTTTTTAATTAACAAAATATGTGAAAATTCTGATTACTTCACTGAAGGGGTAAAGCCACTCTAGAGGTTGAAAAAACAGCTCATTTCTTTTGAAGTTTTTGTAGGAATATCGGAAAGGTAATAAAATTTCTATTTAACCATTTCATTGAACATATAATGAAGTATAAAAAAAACTATTCTTTAATTATTATTTTGCTACAAAATGGCAGTTTAAAGTTCATTATTTAATATGTTTTCTTAAAAGGCGTCCACGGGAGGACCGATTTCTTCTAAGGGGTGAGACCTAGAACAGAAAAGCAAGAAGTTTTATGATCTACAAACTTTAATCTTTGGAAGCATTTACAGATTAATTTTTTAACTAATTAACTTTGTAAAAACGGCACCACTTTTTTTTAATTGGTTTTTGACTAAAAAATACGCACTAAATTTAAAAAAAAAAAGGTTTACATTTAATCGGAGGTACATAGCCGACTTCCTAATTATTTCACGTCGTTTTCATCTGTGGCTATATTCATTTCAAAGGTACTGTCACTTCGCGGTGTTTTCTGTAGATGTCATTTGTATTGGCGTGAGGAACAATTTGTTTCATTCATTTGAAAATATCGAAATTTGTACCAGATAAAGTTTTTTTTTGCGTGGAGTTCTTCTTCATAACTTTAACATTAAGAAAAGTGCTACCGAAAGCCATCGTATTTTACTGCACGTTTATGGTGACCATGCTTTAGCCGAACGAACGTGCCAGAAGTGGTTTGCACGGTTTAAAAGTGGCAATTTCGACTTAGACGTCAGAGAACAACACGGTCAGCCAAACACATTTCAAGACGAAGAATTAGAAGCATGGCTCGATGCAGATGCATGCCAGACGCAAGAAGAACTCGCAAAAGTATTAGGAGTTGATCAAGGAGCCGTTTTCAGACAATTCAAATCATTTTTTCACAATAAAGTCTTAATTTTCGAAAAACAAAAACATTTCAGATGAATCGATGCAAAGATGTAATTTCGAGAAAAATACACTAAAAGTTTCCATTGTCCTCAGTACACGCTCTGTGGGGCTGCAGCAAAATAAAGAATTCAACTATTTGAAAAAAAAAAATTTTTTTACTTTAAAATCAAAAAAAACATTGCATTTTCCAAAATCCTAGAGTGGCTTTACCACTTAAGTGATAAGAGCAAGTTCATCAAGCGCAAGACATGCAAAATCTAATTTTTTGTAGCAAATTTCATAAGAATGCAGCGTCAATATCAACATTTCCGCTACAATTTCAGCGCTAATTTCCTCTAGCACGTGCACACACACATTCATTAAGCGAAGGTTCAAAATTTTTGTACGCAAAGCTTTTTTATGCATTTCTTATGCAGGATTTTTTCACTATGATTTCTACGTATAAGCTTTGTGCACTGAATCGAATGGCTTAATTTTGCTCGTTCCTACCGCTGCTGTGGAGCGATTTCTCGCACATCGGCATGGTATTGCCATGGAAAATGCTGTGCATGTTGCTGTTATTGTCGCTGCTGTTATGAATATTCTTACGCGTAAGCAAAAAAAGGCATGCTGGTCTTTTAGCTGGAACTTGTACTGAAGAAGGATGAGTATACGTTTTATCTTAGTCTTTCGTACTTTTTCCTATTTTTGTTTTTTCCCCGTTTTTTGTTCGTTTTCTTTTTTTATATTTTGTTTGGATGCTGCGTATTTCTGCTTTGCTTGGTGCTTGATTTAGTTTTTCTTTTTCGTTTGGTTTTTGCTAATGCACGACAATAGCTGACGAGTCACTAACACGCCCCATCTAACGCATGTGGTTCGTTTAACTGTATCTATGTAGATAGTAAATGGCGAAGGCGAGGTTGTTTAAATGATTTCAAGGACTACTCGCGCTTTACTGTGTCTGCTTTCGGTTTTACTTTCGTTGTCGACAGCGACGTTTTCACTTTTATTTGATTTTGTTTTCTTTCATTTATTCTTCTTCTGCTCTTTTTTTGCTTTCATTTGCACGTAGTCGTTTATTGCAATTTAGATTTTGTTTTTGCAAAAATTTTATAGCTCACCTATTTTATTATTTTATGCTTGCCAACCGTTGTATTCTATCAAATTTTATGATCATCTTTTTTGTTTATTGCTTTGCTTACTTTTTTATTTTATTTTAATATTTTTTTTATAATTTTATTATTTTTTTACAATTTTTTTTTTGCGCTCCTTCTCGCCTGAACGCACTTAAATCACAACGCATGCATAATTGAGAAGGAGTGTTTAACTTATGTGCGTATGCACGTTTAAATATGTAGGTATGTATCTCTACGCATGCAAACACGTTAAGCACACACAGAGCAGTCATATGCATGTGTGTAAATATAACACAGAAACCCACAAACAATCACATACGAGGCTACTGTGTGTTCGCTTAAAAAAGGCAGTTTAACCGTAATTAGATTACATACAAAAAACGCTGCCTACTTTTAGGCTTTAAAAAGCATTACTAAGGATTCGTTTTGATTTTCGCATTTTCCTCTCACATTTTGCGATTTTGCGTTGCGCCTGCACGCTGCTGTCATATCTGACTGTTGAAGCTTGGACTTTTTGTTTTTCACTGACAATTTCACTTTTTCTTTGTTTTTTTGCGCAACGCGCACTTGACTTTCGTAATCAGGAATTATTTATGACCATGACAGGCGTACCAACATTTTCTGCACCAAAAGAGTGTACATACATATGCATCAAATGTGTTGGAAAATATTTTTACACTCACACTGTAAATATAATTGGTTGTCACTTTTGCATTTATTATATAAGTATTTTAGCAAACAATTTTTATGCATTTTTTTATTTTTTATTTTTTTTTTTTTTTGCCTTTTTTGTTGATGCGCGCTTGCGAAAAAATTCGATATCAGCAGCCACGACACAGCGCCATACACGACTAACGAGCAAACGAACGCACGCACGCAGAGCGAGTCAACGATTTCGACCGACAACAGCGCTAGATGCTTCTCAAATCTAGTCTAGCTTTGGCAATGGCATTGCAAAGAACACAATCAGCAACCAGCAGTAGCAGCAGCAGTTATTATGGCTGCAACAGCATCGCCAGTGAAGCTGTAAAACTGTGCCTAGACACACGCGCACATAGTGAGGTGCTAGCTTTGCATCGCTCTGCCGACATTTACGCGAACGCCACTCTGCAGCACAACACAGCGCGAACAAAAGCAGTAACAACAAGCACTTAGAACATTTGGAAAAAATGAGCAATAAAAATAATAAGCCGAGGCGTTGACGATGTGAGCAACAACAAAGACTACAACAACAACGAAAACTAAAACATTTACAAGCAAGTCTAGCCACGAAGATGTGTAGTATGATTTGAGACTAGCGCAAGAGACAGCAGCAGTTGGAAAAAAACGTACTAAAGAAAGTCCACACCCAAAAAGTACGAGTATATCGTACATGTTCACATAGCCACACACACACACGCACACATCCAGCATAGCAGTTAGAAATATGTGCTTATATTTGTGCAAACCATGAATGACCGCCAGTATGATTATGGAAGCAATTGAAGCACAAGGCTACTTTTGAGGGAAGCAATGCAAAAACATCTATTAAATTTACATAAAAAATAATATTATTTTGTAAAAACTCACTTTCAATTCAGCAATTCAAAAAAAAAACCCTACTTTAACTTTTCATTAATTTTTGTTGTTTTTATCTTTACTTTTATTCCACGTTTTCACTTTTTAATCTTCCAATTGAAAGATTTTTACTCTACTTCAAAGCACACACTCTCCACTTGTCTATTGCATTAGCGTTTGGTTAATTACAAAAGTATTTTAACTCGCGTTTCATTCGTTTACAAATTTCATCATCCGCGTTTTTCTGCTAATGTTACACTAGCGCTTTACGTTCCACGAAAGACTAAATTTTCATTCGTCGTCAACGATGGGCAAAAGTCGGCTATTTACGTTAAAATTGGCCACAGCCTAAACTCGGCTGCTGCGAATGGCATTTAAAAGAGGCTGCTGCTGCTGTTACTCTGTTATTACTTAACGTACTTTATACTGCAACAGTTGCTGTTTATGCTGTTAACAGCGCTGTAAGTGTTATTAACATATGTATATGACGCAGCATCACTCTGTTGTACGCAGACCACGGCGTATACGTGACTTTTTTATTGCTCGTTAAATACGCAGCGACGCTCTCTCTTTTACGTTCGCTCTCATTAATTTTTGTTTCTATTGCAATTTTTTTTTCTCAGTTGGATTTTCTTGTATTTAATTTCACTTTCGTAAAAGAGTGTGGCACGTCCTTTTACCCTGTTCGCCCTTGACATACCTCATGTTTTAGCTGTTTATTATAGCATTGAAATATTATTCATAGCAATGTTGGGAAGAAAATTGTTTTCCACATTACAGCACTGTGTGATGAGTTTGCTTCGAATGTGCATTAAAAATACTTTTACTTTTAATATATTTACTTTGATACATACATAAATACATACTTACATTCAGTGTGCGTAGTGACATTCTTCCAACAAATGGAAGGACCGACATATAATGTTTTCTAAGCCGCTTCTGAACGACTGATGAATTTTTACGGATTTTTTTCATTTCATTTTTTCTATTTTATGTCAAAAATACAATCGGAAGTGTTAAGATTCCATGCCGTGAATTCCGTGGTGACCACCAATGGTAATAACAAATTTTTCTAATTTTTTTTCTATACCTAACCTGTCCGGGGTAATGAATAGTTTGTTGTCTATCCTTCATTCCTTTCTTTCCACCCAAATCAAAATAAAAAAATGTTTAATTAAAGAGCCAATGTGAAATTTCTTTAATTTTTTAATTTGTGAAGTCTATAAAATTTTTGAGTAGTATGTAGAATTCACTATTGAAGGTAATAACAATATTGGGATTCCGGTATTCCTACCAAGTAAGCTTTTAACTTCCTTGATGATGTAAAATAGTTTCTCAGAGAGTTGTCCTAGCAAAGCTTGATGTGTAAAAACCCACGAAAAGATGAAAATTTCATTTGTGTCTTCATGTATTGTGTCTAAAAATTGCTGTTTTTCCTTTCGTGAAACTGAAGACTTCGAACTTAAAATAAATATATTTTTATTTTATTACTATTTATTTTATTATTGATGATTCTTATTATATTAATTTTCCATTAAAAGATTTATTTAAAACTTTCCAAGAATCGTCGTACTGTCTCGCACTACAAACAAATATTTCAGCATACTTAGCATGCTTAGGATCACAACTCAATAATGCATAATTCAAACTTCGAAGACCAGAAAACACGCCCAAAAGAAAAAAAAAAACAAAGCCCAAGCCAAGGGGTAGAGTATTGAATGCCCTTCAAATACACACTCAAGTCTACTTGGAGTTCAAGCGAAACAGCTGAGCTTGTTACTAATACTACTAACACGCCACTGATAAGAGTGTTGTTGTTGTTTTGACAAATTTGTTTGTACGTTTTCTTGTTAAGCCACAAATGTTACAAACCAGTCAAATGGCGTTGCCATTGCTGACCTAAAAAAAAATATATATATAACTATATATGTCTGTATGTACGTAAATACGAAGTGTAAAACAAATAATACCATAAAAGAAGCTCAATAAAATTGCTACTACAAAAACAAACGTCACTCTCCCGAAGAGTGCAATGATCATTAACTCGCTTTGGCATCGTCATAAAAAATACAAAATAAACAAAAACCTTCTTGGCGACGCTTTTCTTTATCTCAGCCTTTACATCCCTTCACTTTTACTCTAACCTTGTCTATTCCACACATCCTTCAAATGTTTTTAACAGTCAACGACGCAAGTGTCAAATGCGACAGTTGTTCGCTTCATGCTTAGCTCAGCATAAATTTGAACATTACAAAAACAAAAAGTAAAATAAACAAAATTTTTGAAGAGATAATCACAAAAGTAAATGTTGTGTAAACAAAATTTCAGCGTGCCGTGCAATGAAGTGAGAAAGAGAGAAAAATAGAGAGGACGGAGGAGGAGACTGAGCATTGGAAGCTACAAAAGGCATAAAAGCAAAAGAACAAGAGAAACTTATCGTAGAGTGTGAAAAAGTAACAACGACACGGCGTTCGTAACTTCAAAATTTGTTTATGACTTGCGAAAAACCACGTGTTGATTTGTTTTGATTTTGCGCATTGCTGTCGCACTCAAATCGGAAATTAACGCAAGCCCGAAGTGATTCGGTAATTTCTGTAAACAAAAAAAAACGTGCGTACGAGAGAATTACAAATAAATTTTTCTCTCTGCCTCGAACTCCTTGTTATGTACTAAACGGAGCAACAAACTTTTTAATAACACACCCATGGTTGTTGCGCACGCGTTGGCAGGCAAGCATACTTTCAGGCGCTCTCTATTTTTTTCTTTTCCACTCAAAGTCTCTTTCAGCTAGCAGACAGTTTTCTTCGATAAACAAACCACTTAACATTTGCAAATAATTATTTTCACTGCTGCTGTGTTTTCAATTGTGTGAGCAGCGCAGTCGACTGCACTGCTATTGATGCTGTCTACCACCATTTGTTGTGTGACGTAAAAGCCGCACAGCTGCTTATATATAAATAAAAAATTACTATTGTGGTTCGATGACTTAAGTAAAGTGCTTATGCTTGGACTTCATCAATGGGTTTTAGTCAAATCTTTCATAGCAAATAAATTTAAAACTTATATTCTTACAATTTTCTATTGGAAATTTTGCCATGCGTATAAAAAAATAAGCCAAAATATGGAGGAGCTCTTAAGACTTAAAACTTACAGAAGGCATTTGTTTCATTACTGGCTCCTTATGTTGCGCTAGTATTTTGGAGGATATGAGTATTGTTTTTAGAAAAAAGTTGAAAAATTAGAAAAAATAGATCACCGGCTGACCTATTCTTATCAGACGGGGAAGGACTGAAGAATCATGCCGTCAACAATCTGATTGGACCCTATCTTTGTGGCTTTAGACCTGGTAGGCCCATGAAAAGAGGATCAACACACACCATTACTACACGGCTTTTTAAACCGACGCTAGACAACACAGAAGCGCAGTTAGAATTTGGAAGGACCTATCCGAGTCGTTCGATGCCAAGCAGGATCCAGGCAGGGTGGTTCTTTATTGCGCGGCTTCA